CCAGTTATTAGGTTTAGGGGGCAATCACTTTTTCACACAACTGTATATAAATGAGGGTATAGCATGTTCGACGGTAGTTCAATAAAATGGTATGAGAGAACTACATGGTGAAGCTTCTTACTGTATACTCCTGTTTGAATACAAATACTTAACAAATGAGTATTTTGTCATTTAATTAAGAATTTCAGAGAGAACTTCATTTTTAAAGTGAAACTATAGAGAAGATATAAAGAATAAGATATTTCCAGCTATACACTGACTGTTTACATTCAAACAGTAATCAGATTAAGACAATAGTTTGATTTAACGGAGTTTCATCAGAGAAAGCTGAGTTAGTACGTGTATCATATCTCAGTCGCGATACGATTTTAAATAAGACGATAAATTATCGTACTGAAATATCGGCCAGCCCTGCTTTTTAACACAACATTAACATGTTATCACCTCATAAACTTGCTGTGGTGAAAATGCTGGTTAAAAAAAAAAAACCTTAACTATTTACTCTCGTTTCAGCTCTATTTTGGTCTCTACCAACTCCTGAAGGAACTATCTGTCTCTTGAGCGGTTGGAAGTACTCCACTACGTTCACCAGTTAGTTGCTAACTTTGTCCATGTGCCGTTTGGTGCTGGGCAGGAAGTGTACAGTCGGTTTTCAGAGCTGATGCTCTCAGCGGTGAGACTGAATCAGAACAATAAAGTTGAGGTCCAGAAAACCAAAATAACCACCGTCAATCCGAATGATGAAGAAACGGAGAGTTAATCCTTTTATCAACATAAAAATCTTAAGCAGCTTTAAGTGTGATTTTAGAAGTTTTATTTCTTCAATTTGACTGATGTGTATACTGACTGTATTGTAAATGCATATCTTTGTCTCCTTAATGTTTCCTCAGATCTATGGCTGGTCCCCTTCGGACGCTTGTGATCCAAACCCTTGTGAGAATGAGGCCAGGTGCCACAGCATGGACCAGGACTTCTACTGCGCATGTCCCGAAGGCTTCGAGGGGAAGACGTGTGAGCGGCTCAAGGAGAACTGCCAAACCGCTCCGTGTCAAGGTGACTGAAGTCGTCTGCAATGATGAAACGGTATTTAACTACCATGTGAAAGACAAGTAATCAATTTGAACAGTGTTTTTTTTTCTTTTTTTTTTTTTTTTTTTCTCTCTCTTTATTCTTGCAGTGATTGACAGCTGCACTATTGCCGTAGCAACCAACAACTCCGCTGGAGTGCGGCACATCTCGTCCAACGTTTGTGGTCCACGAGGACGCTGCATCAGCCAGCCAGCGGGCAACTTCACCTGCATGTGTGATCCGGGTTTCAGTGGCATCTACTGTCATGAAAGTACGTAGAGACTCTTGCTTTGAGATGTTTATTAAAGATCATACAGACAACTGAAGTTTAAAAAGTTGGTAATTTGCTTTCAAAATGCTTTTTTAAATTAATTTACAAATACTGCACACATTTCTATCATTAATATTTTATTCCACAAAACACGAATATCCTGTAATTTCCTCAAAACAGTTATACCAGTCTATTATTTTTTTTATTCCCCTCCCCCATTTAGCGTTTAATTATAGATGGTTTATAACACATTTTGATGTTATTGTAAGATGTAAAGTTCTATTAATGTCAGTAACATTTTACATATACACAGTCTAACAAAGTTTTTGTCATATCTAATGATAAGTGGAAAAAATAAACGGTGATTATCCCTTAATAAACACCTAACATTTTCTTATTTTTGTTCACAAATGCATAATGGTGTGTTATAAACATTTCTGAAGTGAACTACTTGCACAGAGTGTTATTAAAAATCATAGATCTTCTGAGAGTAGTCCTGCTGAAAACGTTATACCCC